CCGCCCCAATCCACTTCCTGACGGAGGGACTTGGCAGCGTGCGGAGGGAGAGTCCAGAGCTGCCCCTGGGACGGGAGAAACTCCAACAGGAAACATCCTGCGCTGGAGCAGCGCGAGCTCTCCCCCCGCTTCCCTCCTGCCTGCTATTTTTTTTCGGGGAGGGGGCGTCCTTGAAGGATGAGAGCTCTGGGACGCTCACAAGCCCTTTGCATTGATTTAGACGATGAGAAAGAGCCAGGCGTGCCTTCTCGCCGGCGCTTTTTGCTGCTGAGCATCCTATGGCCCCCGGCTCAAGGCAGACCCGCCCCGGGGCTGCTGACCCCCCCTGACAGACCTGCACCCCAGCAGGCAGCAGCTGCCTGCGGGCAGAAGCCGTGCAGGCAGAGGTCTGGCATCGCCCGTCCCGAGGATGAGGGGTTAACGGCAGCGGCGCTGCTGTTGCTGCACGGCTGGCAGGCGCTCAGCGCTGCGGCTGCCAAGGCTGCTCCGGCGGTGCCATGGACTTCCCTTTCTTCCATAAAAGTCCACCGGATCCAGGCTCCCGTGGGATGCTCTCGGCACGGGAAGGAGGGGGCCGAGCCGCCCTACCTGGGGCGCGTGCAAGCGCCGGGGGCTGTTTGTGCAATGCCCCATGCGCCTCCCAAAAAAACCACCTTGGGAGCCAGGAGCCAGCGCTCGCCTTGCTCCCTACCCTGGCTTGGGCTCCAGCAGGGGAAAACTAATTTTTTACCTATTTCGGGGGCGGTGAGGCATGCGGCGGGGCCGCCTCAGCCCGGCTGGGCGAGGACGCGGGGAAAGCCGGGAGGCGATGGTGAGGCTGGGGTTGCGCAGCGTAGACACATGCTGCTGCTCGCGGCGTTTCGGCATCACTCAAACAGCCCTGCTCTTGTCCAGGCTGGGGCTCAGACCCGCAGCTCCTTGTCCGGGAGCACACAAAGGCGGTGGAGAGGTTTGTGGAAGAGAAGCGGCGGGGGTGTCCCCCCAGGGATGCCCATCGGTGCTGCTGGAGGTTATTTCTGCGCTGTCTCCTTGCACAAACTGTGCTTTCCTGCCACTGGGAATGGGACGGTCCCCCCCCAGCCCCAACAAGAATAGCTCCCCACCTCCAGCCCTAATTATTTTGGGCCACTTGCGGGTGGCGGTGCAAATATAAAACCCAAGAGGTTCCTTCCCAGCCCTCTTCCCAAACCAAGGGGTCAAAAATACATTTTCCCAGGTACTCAGATGGAGCAGAAATGATGATAGAAGCCAACCGTGAGAGCTGCTGTTACCTACAGGGATGCTCGAGTTGGCCCCACGCAGGCAGTGCAGCCTGGTTTGAGTTCAAACCCCGCAGATTTAGGACCGATCTACATCCTAACTCCTAACCAGGGCCACCGCAGGGAGCCGAAGCAGCTCCCTATGTTTGGGTGGGTGTCCCCGAGGCAGGCTGGGTGGGGGTCCTACCCTGACCCCACAACCAGCTCACAGCCCCTCCGGCTTGCAGGCAGCACGATGTGAGCCCCGTATCAGTTACAGCAGCAGACAAGATGTCATCACACCAAGAGGCCGGGGCTTGCATCAGAAGTGTCTTGCAACGAAGAAAGCCAAATTTTTACAGGAGAGGCACACACGCTCGCTCTCGCACACACACACACACACACACACCGAGCCTCGGTAATTAACTTAATAGGTTTCTTACAGAATGCCCCGTGAGTGATGCTCAACATATTCAAGTGTTGACAAGACGGCGCTGAACCCGACGCCTACACAACGGGCAAACCAGGCACCGAGCGCAGACACACCTTCGTTGTCTGAAACTTGTAGTAAAACTCCAAACCCGCCCTTGTGAAACGGGGAGCCGAGCAGATGGGGCTGCGTAACCCTTTGCCTGCCGGCACCTGGGCGCAGAGCCCGGCAGGACACGCGCGAGGTGGCGGTGGGCCATCCCCAAGAGGGAAAAATGCATTTATAAGCGTCTCGAACAGGCTAGAAGCGACGGCAGATGTTTCCATACACACACTCAGGGTACGTTACGGATGGGTTTTAGCCCACCAGGACCATTCGCTGAGCACTGAAATAAATTAGCAACTTTTCATTCATCTATAAAAGCATTCACCCCTTAGAAATTCGCTGTAAATCCAGGGGAGGTGAACACGGTGTTGTCCTCCGGATTTGCTCCAGGTCAATATGTGGGCCACTAATGTGAAAAAGGGCTGAGCATCCCCCAGCACTGCTGGATGGTCCCTACGCATGTCTCGCCTGGATTTGGCCAGTTCCCGGAGGAGCCGTTCCCTTCCCTCCTGCCTCAGGAAAGTCTTTCCTATAAAGGGCACGATTTTGGCTAATCTGTGCTTGATGCCGTGGGTGGCCTCAGCCCCCCCAGCTGAGGGGAGCCAAGCCCCAAGCCATGTCAATGCAGCGCTGTGGCCCGACACAAGACCAAACACCCTCCTGAAGAGGCAACAGCACCCATGGTCACCCAAAAAAAGAGGGAAAAAAAATCTCTGGAAGAGGGATTCACGGGGAAACCTGTTTGGATGGAGACGTTTTGTAAGAGGCAGCAGAGAGCCATCTCCCGCTGACTCGGGGTGGGATCTTGAGTCAGGAAAATTGCTTAAGAAAGGGTGGTCGTTCGTACAGGTTTCGCCAGGTTGGGAAACATTCTCCCAGCGGCTGGGACCCGCGTTGTACAACGCGTGGAGCAATCGCCAGCACTGTCATCATTATGCTGATGAGCTCCCAAACCCGTCAGGCTCCCTCAGCATCCCCACCGCCTGCTCCGTGCCGGCTGGGTCTCTCTGCAGCTACACCCTCTCACTATCGCACGGGGATCGGCTCCGGCAGGCTCCGGGGGGAAAGTCTTTCAGCGGATGCTGGCGATGCTTCATGAGCCTCGCAGCACTCGCCGGAGCAGGCAACGGGCTCATTCCAACATGTCACATCAGCTGGAAACGTTTCAGCCGTTTTAGAGGAAGGGAGGGCTGGCCCGGAGCCGGGACACCGGGTTCAGGTGGCTCCTTCCCTGCCTCCCCGTCCCCCTGCACGCTGCAACCTCAGGGCAGGCGTAGAGCACTGCAGGGATGCAGGAGCTGTCGTTATTCCTGTTTTAAAGAGATGCAAAAGGCATTTCAAACATTTTGATCAACTGAGTAAAAGCACCGGAACCCGGGGCACAGCTATTTTAGGGGACTTTTCCGCCGGGACCACACGGACAGCATCCAAAGAGTGTGGATGCTGCGGCGGGCAGATGATGCTGCTCACTGCAGACGAGACCTGGGCTGCAGAGAGCCGAATTCACAGGGCTACGGTGCGCAGGAATTAAATATTTAGCTGGGAATTAGCTCTGTATTGTCAGGGAATTAAAGCTTTACCTGCACATTGCAGATGGAGGCTTAAAGGTTTTACAAACACATTAGATTTACAGCTCTCCGAAGTTTCGACACCGTTGGGTTTACCCCGCCAGGGAGGATTTTGACGAGGTCGGGACGGTGCCCCT